CACTCGACATTAATTCGCCATTTCGAATACGAAACATCGATCACGTTCTTCCACGGAAAAATGAAAACCGCCGTGTACCATTTTCATAGAGGAGAAGATCTCGATTACCAAAGACCGGCCGTGTAATAAAGGGAAAATTCTGGAATGTTTCGTTATGCTCCAATTCCACGTACGTACGTGTGCACACGTGTGCACATCTATATATATATATTTACTCGTTGCCCATTATCACGCGATTTCGAGGTTCAAAGCGGCTTTGTGCAGCTGCTGGTAGCGTAAATTAAAAATGCCACCTAATAGTTAACTAGAGGGAGGGGTTGAAAGGAAGGCAGCATGGTTTGCGGCGTGGAGATTATTAGTCGGGATAAACTGTCTGAGACCAGAGGTGAAATACAACGGCCGCCAAATCCGGCTTCATTCTCCGCCAAGTTTGCAAACGTGAACGTGAGGCGCGTGGTGTTCGTTTAATTTTCCTTTACAATTCGGCAACTCGAATAAAAAATGCTCGTGTAACAGCCAGATCGCGCGAATAACTCGGAGAAATCCGTTTCCTCCTCGTGATGAAGGAATTACTTATTATTAATCATCCTCTTAAATATTTTATCATCGGCAATATCTTGTTTATCGATACCCGCTGCGTTTAATTAATTAATATGCAGCGACGGGATATGTAGAAATGATTCGATTATCGATACGGTAATAATTATTATCAAATATGTATTAAATATATTGGATCGTTATAATATTAACATCGGGAAAAACTGATATTATAGAAAGAGCAAGATTATATACACGTCGTATATAATCATTGCGATCGATATTTCCGTTTTAAAGCGGATGTTTATTTTTCCAACCTCTCGCTCGAGTGATTCGCTTCCATATTATTATTATTATTATTATTATTATCAAGAAGGCTGCCCAAAATTGACTCTACTCTCGCCGAATATGGAATATATCGATACAAATATTTATCGTTAATTAATCCGACAAACGCACGTGATACCAATATCACGAGTGAATACATGAAACAAAAAAAAAAGAAGAAGAATATAGAAATTACATTTTGTTGTAACAACGACACATATAATGGAAGTTAAAACGTTAAAATCTGGCGTCAGACGCAGCGGTTCACCGTTGTGATTTCACGGTAATTTCACGAACATGCCCTTCCCCTTAGGCCGTGCCCTGTGTTAATTAACCGTGGACAGGGTTTGCCCGATAAATAAATTTCGCGCGAAACAATCGGGCGTCGAAGGCAGTGGCGCGCGATCGATTATCGTTATTGTCCACGCGTGTGTACGAACACCGAATAACAATTATTCGAAACGGTGGCTGACGTGCAATTACGAGTAAGCTCATTAACGGCGAAGCCCGCTCATTATCCGATTGCCCGATATCTATCATACGCGCAAACACTTGCTCCTCGTTACTCCATTAAATTTTCATAACTATCCGCGCGCGGATTACGTTTTCGAAAACGCGATCGGCCAGAAAATAACCGCCTTCCGCCCGCGCCAGGCAACAAGCTGGATCGGAAAATTAATCAATGGTGGTGGTGGTGGTGATGGTGGTCGTGGTGGTGGTTCTTGTCAAAATCAATCTCCTCTATCCTGATGATCTTACGATTGATAAAGTTTTCAAATTTATCTTTGTGTCGGAGAGGGTGGAGGGGGTATATATATATATGGAATATGGCCCGTTTTCATTCCTCGATATCGAAGAGGGTGGAGGGGGACGAAGGGAAGAAGGAAAAAGTTTGAAGGATTTGAAATATGCTGTATAAATATTTGAACAGAAATCGGGCGTTTTGAGGGAAATAAGTTATGAAACTTTGTTAAAGTATTATATGGAAAAATTTTAATATACGATGCGATAGATAGTGTCTAATAAAGTGAAATTGTATTTTCTGAATCATGATTAGTTCATAATTAACGTGACAGATAATTTAAAATTTTAATTATATTGCTGTCCATCAATTTATCGTTTCACTTTCTCTTATCGTTATAATTAAAAACACGAAACACTTCTTTAATATATTAAATTCTCTTTAATATATTAAAACAACGATTATATATACTCAAAAAAAATCATAAAATAAAGTAAATTTCTTTCGAAATACGTTCATTAAACGAAAGAAATATAATTATCGATAACCAAATTGTTAATTGAATTCAATATTTATTGATAATCGATATCTCATATTTCTACCCTATTCCATACATAGTATCCTTTCCTCTAATATTTTCATCTTTTATATATCTATTTTTTTTATTCACAATAAACATTCACGCTATTTTATTGTTGAATATTGTTCATAGTTTAAGAGATATATATTCCGTCTGGTCCGTTTTGTATCCTCAAATCCATATTTCAAAAAGTTGTTCGAGTTTCTTATCGCGCGTGCATTCGAACCAAGTTTTAAATCGTAGATAAAAGATACCACTTCATAAATAATTTACCCAACTTTTAATACGCGTTATAACTCGTCGCAGAGCCGAGAGATAGGGGGGTTGGCTATCGATCGAAGAAAATTCGCGGAATTTCGAGTATCCCGGTAGATGTCGGCCAACTATGCGTTTCATAAATCGTTCCATAATTTACCGAAGATTGCGCCACGTTCTACGCCCGAGATTTCTCATATCTCTGTCAAATGTGGCCCCCATTTTAAATTTATAATACGCGGGCAAACGTAGAAATTTGATTAAAGAAAAGAGGAAAAAGAAAAAGAAGGACAATGCGTCAGAGATTGTTAATAGAAAAGAAGGGAAAAGACGATAAAATTATGATAAAAATCTGTGGCGCGACGACAATCTAATCGTTGTCGAGTTATTTTATTCAGCTTTACGAACGAATAATTTTTTTGAGATATATATATATATATATATAATTTATCCAACAGTTTCGAGGGATAACAGACGCGTTTCTGAATATTCCCGGCGAAGGGGAAAAGTATCCCCTTTTTAAAAAATTAAATTCAAAGCTTACACCGCGGCACACAATGTGCACCACGTTGCGTCACGTTCCTCGACCTCCTAATTTCTCATTCGTTTAAATGGACTGGAAGCACGCTTGTTTCGCCCTCGACGGTCCGTTCGCCACCGCACGGGCAAAAAGATCCCAAAACGTTGAATTAATGATACAAAATGTGCATATTCGCCTGTCTCCTCGCCGCTGAAACCTTCCGTTCGCTGCTTTTACATTACGTTAAAGAATTATATTTTATGAAGGGTTGTTGGGTAATTATAGAAAATTAGAAATATAATTATTGGAAATTTCGAATACTTTATATACGTAGAAGAAAGAATTAATTTGAATAAATTTACGCGCGGGTTGTTTATATATAAATGCCGTGTAATCCCGACCTGTAACAATTGGATATTTTTTAACGAATTAGTCGGCGAATCTTTTTTTCATGGGGATCTATAGTGTTTGGCATCACGTGCCAGCTAACGAGAGCCTCGTTAGTTACTAACGAATTGTTTGGGTACAATCCAAACTTCCAAAACGTGCTCTCCATTTGTTTAATATTCGAATTGGTGATGATTCAATTTAAATGACTTACGCAGCACGGCAGTAAATTATTTGCGCTGCGTCGAAAAATCGATGAATCGAAAAAAATTTTATGTAACAAAAATATTAAAAAATTCTTCTCGAGTTAGAATGCGAGAATGTATTAATAAACGCAACAAAGATTTCCTATTATCGCGTGGAAATTCGACGCCAGGGAATAAACGATAAAATTAATCGAAGCCTCTCTTTGACTCGCGAAACACTGGATTTATGCACCGAGCATGATGTACCTTTTTGTCGTAAAGTCGACTTTAAAGACGCTAACAGGATCGTGCACTAAGGCTTCTAGATCTTTAGATCACCTAAAGGTCTTTGTACCGTGTCCAAGTGTTCCAGTGATAAATTCTTCTTAGACTCATGAATGTTCCCTCATCGATTTATGCTTGATGGAAGTTTTTTTTCTTCGAAACGTTCTTTTCTTCGTCATCTTCCTCTTCCTCTTCTTCTTCCTCTTCTTCTTCTTCTTCTTCTTTTTAATTGTTGCGAACGAAGAATGACGACAGTTATGTAAAATATTTTGCGCAGTATGGGAAACAGATGGTACATAATTGTGACAAACAATTATCCATTGTTTTTTTTACGTCGTAAAAAAGAAGATACCAGACTTTGTGAAATGGCGAGAAATCGAAAAAGTTCTTTAAATATCGGCGAAGCGTCCACTTCCTTTTCCTTATCTTCAAAGGATTTGCATATTTTTCAATAAGATAATCAAATGGGTTTTTAAAGTAAATAATATTTACGAGCGAAGAATTGTAACTGAAATATAAACATGTGCATGGATGATTGATTAACATTATTTAACATTATTTAAGATTAAATGTCGAAGGAAAGAGGAATTCAAATATATATGAAAAGAAAGATTCAATATATAATATAATATATTATCGTGCAAATAAATTATTTCAGATTATCGGATTGATTTTTTAATTATTTTATCTCTTATCAATTTTTCCTCGAAGTAGATAAACGTTGCGTTCATTACATCAAATGATAGAGCGGAATACTTCGATTGAACGTACACGTTAATTTTATAAAGCTTGTACTTTATTTATTCTAATGTAGAAATGATTTCACTAACAACGTAGTATCGTCACGTATCGCTTTAAATAGTTTAACGTTTGAAAGTTTGTTATTGGATATAAAAATGTTTTAGAATTAGATATAATAAATAAATAAATAAATAAATAAATAAATAAATAAATAAATAATATTTCGGTATCATGTAAAATTGTTACGTTCGAGATTAGTCAAAACGTGAAAATTTTTCTTTTCCTAAGCAACGATGACACTTTTGTAAATTTAATCGCAAATGCAATGATTCAGAATTTTCTGTTATCGAAAATATGATATCTGATCGACGATAACACAATTAAATTAAAATTATCGAGTTAGAATTACACATACACGAATATGTATTAGTAAACAGATACTTATTACATTGCATCGTACAATAATTATTTCCAATTTTTCCATAAATCGATAATTAAAGATACCACGTGCGATGATGAAAGGAAGACAAATAAAAATTCAAGCAAAAATTCGAATAAAAGAACGATTTAAAGAACAAATAATCCTTCTTATTTTCATTGCATCATAATTCAGACAGAATATTTATGAATATAATATATAGTATAATATATAGTGTAAAATCCAATAATCTATGGATAACGAATACAGATAAACAACGAAACGTATCGTCGAAATAAATTTTTTTTGTTCTTATACAGTCTTAAAATTTTATTCGTTTTATCGACGCGTTAAATTTAACATAAAACAGAGATTTATTAGAAACGCATCGTTACGTAAGAAGATTACGTAACGTCGATCGTCAGTCGAATCCTCTTATCTTTAAAATTGATGCGACTATGCTATTTTTTACAGAGACGGTATAACGTTAAACAAAGAACGAATATAAAAATTTAAAACGATTACTTTTTCACGATAGGTGATCGCATTAAATTATAATTATTTCATCGTGAATAACGTTGAACGCGTCGAGATTGTCCGTTATTACGAATTCGTTCAATTCAAATTTATTCATTATATTTACGATTGCAAAATCAACGTAACGAGCTATCGGTCGTGTTACTATCGAGAATACCAGCGCGACTATAAATCAAGCGAGTAATCGTCTTTAACGTTCGTTCGTTCGTTATTTTATTTTCGTTTCAAACGCAATTCTAATCTAAAAAAAAAAAAAAACTTAACGTAATAATCCCCCTCCCTCTCCCAAAAAAGAGAAAGAAAAAAAGCGATCGTCCTCGTCTCTGACGAAAATCGAAAACAAAACAAAACAAAACAAAACAAAACAAAAGAAAAAAAAACAAAAATCGGAATTTTATTCGAAATTTCGAGTTCACTCGTGAAAAATCGATAAGGAATCAAGTTCTAAATGCGAGCAATGCAGCCGGACAGCCCCACTACACTCCCTCCTCCCCCACTAGCGGAACACGCTATCGATTAACAGCGGGTGGCGGGGGTCCCCTGACCTTGACACGGAATGCTTTTTTTCAACCGACTCTCACGCTCGCGGGAGGAATAACACGTAGCACTCCCGCCCTGTTCTTCCGCGAAAAATTCATACGAACGTTCTCCGCATTCCGTCCGACGCACACCCTTACAGAGTGTACACGTCCAACCGGTTCACGCTGAAATTGCCCATCGCGTAAGGGCTGTACGCGTTGGTTCTCACGAGATGGAAGCCCCTTCTCCTCGTGTCCACCTTGTCGCCCGCGAGGACGGCCGGATACCTAGGGGGGCACAGGCCGAGCAGGTACAAAGCGAATCCCCCGCATTGCCATCCCCAGAAACCGACATCCGTGTTTATCGACTCGGCGAAGTACATGACGGATCTGTGGTGGTCGCACTCGAACGGCCTCCACCCCTCCCAGCACCCCGGCTGATTGATACCCCCGTTCATGTAGAAGTCTATGTGCCCGCTCATCTCCACCTTGCCCTGGATGAACGCGTTCGTGTGGAACACGTCGACGAAGTGGGCGTCGGACGCGTCCAGCTTGTCCCGTTTGTCCACTGTGACGAACAACGGCATGGCCGGGTCCAGGCCCGTGATCCTCGACATCTTGTAAGGGCTGAGGGCGTTGGCGGCGAACGCGGGCACGTGCGCCCCCAGGCTGAACCCGATCACGTGCACGTCCACCGCCCCCTCGTCCCTCAGCCTCTCCACCAGCTGGGCCAGACAATCGCCCACGTGGGGCACGTTTTGCACAGCGATCGGGTAGCAAGGGGCCGTCGCCAACCGATGCCAATCCACGGCTATCACGTTGTAATCGTACCTCTTCAAGTACTCGTCCCTCACGTCGACCAGATAAGACAGCTCCATGTCCGAGTCGTAGCCGTGCACCACGATCTTGGTCGGGTTCGACCCATTGAAATTCGTCCGTCTCAAGTTCGACCCGCTCCCGTCCACCGATATCCGTTGCCACGTTTTCGGATTCCTCTTCGTGTACAGGAAGAACGTCACTTCCTTGTCGGGGCACGTCTGATTCGTGTTCACCAGGCAAGGGCCTATGAAGTAATCCTTGCCCTGCTCCAACGTGTTGCCGATCGCCAGCGGTCGCGATTCGCCGCTGGGGGGGATGATCGAGGCGGAGGACGAGGAAACGGCGAGAAGAAGCGCGAGAGCGAGAAGGAAGCGGCCCACCGCTTTCCCGCGCGCGGCCATGTCGATCGTTGGCGGCTACCCTCCACCGGCACCAGAGAGCAGTCCACGGGGCTGATTACGCTCGACTGCCGCCACGAAACTAGCGTCGTCCGCGACGAGGGAAACTCGTGCCTCGATCCGCGCCGCGTACCACCGCCTTCTGCACGAGCACTCCCGACTCCCCGAAGAGGGGCAGACGCGGCTCGTCTCATTACCACGCGACGATCGATGCACGCGCCACCTTCGCCTCGATCGCTCGTCTCGGCTAAGGTCGAGCCAATCCAACTACTACTACTACTACTACTACTACAACTACTACTACTGGTATTACTGTTACTACGTTTCCCGTATTCCGTGCAGGTGTTTCCAGTATTTCCCTTTTTCCCTCCCTTCCCCTTTTTCTTGGAGGTTTGGAGTCGGTCGATTTGCGCCGAATCGATCGATGGCGGGGAGGAGGAGGAGGAGGCACCGTCTGTGCCGAAACGGGATCGGTAACGGTGTAGGAACGGAGAGGAAGATTGGGTAAATCGAGAGTGTGTCGATAACGTCGTGTTCCCCGCGCACGCGTTCGACGCGGAAAGCGGGGCGCGGAAATCGATGATGACACGCTCGCGCGTGATTTTCGCGGATGAGATATCGTGGTGGAATTGCCTCGAATTGTCGTGTGGGAATTCGCCGGGATTAGATAACCACGATCGATTTCCTTCGATTTTATCTTCCTTCCTTCTCTTTCTTTTTTTTCTTTCCAATTCGAAGATCGAGAAGGAAATGGAAGAGGAGGAAAAGTGATATGCGGTATGCATTTAACAAATTTATTATTTCGCGCGAGATAAACGATGTTTGATACGAGATATATAAGAAGAAGTCGTACATCGTTCGTTCGCGATGAAAAATCGTGCGTTTTTTTAATCGACGAAAGAAATATAAAGTCGTTAGAATAGCGCTAATTGCTTCGTCGAAAACAGTGTATTTATATTTGATATCGAAGTAGTCACTAATTACGACGTCGACGTAAGAGGAAGTTAGCACGCCGTTCGAGGCAATTTTTTAATGTCATTGAGGCTAGTCACGCGAACGTATGTTCCAATGCGAGTATCAAGGACACAGACTTCGATTCATGCTTTAAACTTTCATCGTCGTTTCGTTACTCAAAGTTCCCTTTGATTCGATTTATGATATAAATTCCTCGTTACAATTTCTAAGAATTATTTGAAAAAAATTGATTTTCCTAGTTTCATTTAACTTGCGTTAAAGTTTGACGTCGTTCTTTATGAAATTTAATATTTATTAACGCGGCTTACAAGTATTAGCAAAGATTTATTCACCGAGTTTGCGAGAAATTTAAATTGCCCCCCCCCCTCCCCCCTATCTATTGTAATATTTCCATGAATATCGAGCAGCAAACTTAAAAAAAAGAGAGAGAGAGAGAAAAAAAAAGCACTTGTGCAACGCATTATTTGAGAAATCGTCCGACGCGTTCGTTTCGAAATATACGAGGCTCGCAGCTGCGCCATTTCTGTACAAACTTCGTGTACAGGTAAAAAAAATTTATCGACAAACGATTAATAAAGGAGTAATGAAGGAACAATAGTGGCGGAGATATCGAAAATCCGACACGAGTGTTCTCAGGTCGGAGAAAGATGACTGGAATATTTGTTTCGGAAGTGGCCGTGAAAGTGGACGCGCGTTTCCGCCGCCACAAGGTGAAACTTTCGCTTAGTATTCTCCTCGTAGGCTTTACTTTCGAGAGGAGCGTACCGCCGTGAATGCGAATCACGGCCAAAAAACACTTTTACATTCGTTTCGTTTCGAGAGAACCGCCTACTGCTGTCCCAATTACGCGCTCCCCCCCTCCCCTCGCCATCGATTATCGATCCAGAACACCATCGATACCCTCGATTCTCAATGGATTGCTGAGATTGGAGAGAAAAAGAATTGAGAAATAACGGGAAATGGGATCAATTTTTGCGACGAAAGGGACCACCGATGGGAGATTCGCGTATTCGAATCTGTGCGACGAAACGTTTTGCAATTTTGCGAAGATTAAAAAAAAAAAGAAAAAGAAATGGATATATATATATATACGAATATAGACGTTTGATTGAAATTCATGGATCGGTATCCGCGTTCTAAATCCATTGAAAAAGAGCAGTAATGAATGCACCTTTGAGAAACGGTTGCTCGAATTTCGCAGAGGAGAACGTTTATGCAACGTGAATGCGTTATGCAACGTGGAAGTAACGGGTACAATGCTTTTTTCCGATATTAAAACAGTGACCTCGAAAAGAGTTAGCTTGTTAAAAATACGGGGATAGAGATATCCTGCTTGGAAAAGCAAGCTTGTTATCATATCTGAAAAAATAATCAATCGTTGAAAAATAAATGGAGGAGGAGGCAAAGGAAAAAAATTGAACGAAAATAAAACGAAAGTAAAACTGATGAAATTCCAAATTTCTATATTTTTGTATATATATTTTTACGCGAGGGGAAATTTTATTTTATTTTATTTTATTTTATTTTATTTTATTTTATTTCGTTTCGTTCTATCCTACGATGTTGCACACAATATCACAAAGGAAAACATAATCTCGTTTTCTTTGGCACAATCACAAATTCAGATATTAGCAGATATACCGAGTAACATTGCTATTTTGGAATTCTCTCTACGGAAATCGTTCTGGCGCAACACTGGCGTAATTACCACTCAGGATCAATGCGCTTTCCGTTGAAAATTCCGCCAGGATATACGTGGTTTTAGATAAATAAAATATTAAATAGGCAATTAACCCTTAGGCCAAGCCTCCACCACCTCGTTATTTTCGATAATGCAATCGGTGGATGAAAGGATTTTCGAATAAATTTTGTACATTATTCCATTCGCAATACTCAACGCTGGTAACTTTAAATTTCGTTATGATTTTACTCCAAGACTCGATAAATTAAATCGTTAAAGGAATAATAATAATAATAGATCTATGATCCATCTGCTTAGAACAAGGAGTCCAGCATCGCTTGTCAACCTTGTCGCTTCTCTTTTCCTCTTGCCTGTTAGCCAGCCTTCCACCTATTTTTCCAGCCACGTTGCAACAACCTTAGGCAACGTTGTTGCTAGTCACTTCCTCTCTCTTCGAGAAAAGTTTCGAGACTAAGTTGAATTTACTTTTGACTTAAATCGACGGTTTTTCCTTTCCGACGTTTTGGACAACAATTTCTTTAACAACTTTTCTCGGATGCACAGCGAAATAATTCTACTTGTTTCTAGAAGTTCTATTTCTTTATCATACGAAAAATGTACGACGAAAATGGATTAATTAAAATAATCTTTCGACAATATCAATTTAGAAATTTTCATGTATCGAACGTGTCATGCATTATCTCGTTTTCGTTTATATAAAATTAGAAGAGGAGCGATATAAATTTCACCTTTTTCAGCGATCATCGTTAATCATTTAGGGATTAGCTTTTAGTCACTTTTCTGTTTATTTCGTATTCGTCGACTCGTTTGTACTCTTGTTTAAAAGCCATATATAATCAGATTTTCTAACTTTACTGCACAAATTACGTGCACTGCATATTAATTACGTATAATTTTACACGAGATGACGAGGGAGCGAGAGAATCGAGCTTTCCACCAATTATTCGTACGAAGAGAGGAAACAAAACAGTGGCGCAAAATTTCTGTTAAATCTTCGCAATTTCTTCAACGCGACAATTTAAAATGAAACGCATTCTTATGACTTCTTATTTTTTGTTTCGATAATTATTTTAAATTTCCAGCAATAAAGACATTTCAACAGAAACAAAATTCAGTGTATTTGAATAGTTGATAGGTTCTCTACTGCCACGCGTAGCAATAGTGGTATAGTAAATCGAATCGCAGGACCACGTCAAGTGGAATCAGACGCGTTGATCAGACACGAGGAAGCGGGCCGCGTCAAACAGGAAAGGTAATCAAATAACGCGTTATTGGGTATGACGATAAAATTAAATACGAATTGAATCTCGCCCTCTCGCCAATAACGTTATTCGGGGAACAAATACGCCGCTACTGCTGCCTCTCCTCGACAAACAACAATACCGATCCGTTGATTAAATCGAGCGTCAAACGAGAAGTCGATACATCGTCCGTCTAATAAGAGGAAAATTATGCGTCGTTTCATCAACGTTCGTTGACACGTTGCATCCCTTATACGGGTGATTCGATAAATATTCTTTTCATTTCTTGTTTTCATTTCACAGCGGATAAATTATAAATAAATTAAATTTCGAGTGAGGATTCGAAGCTCGATGTCACGTATCGAACTTTGTAATCCAACTTATGATCTAGTTGGACGGATGGATGGAAAGCTTGGACAGTTGTCATACACCGTAGAATTTCACTCCAACTTGTCGCAGAGCACGATTAGAGCACGCTTAATAATTTCGCTTAATAAATTTATTATCGTTTCAATTTAACTTGTAATGTGACTCGTAATTTAAAATCACTTGTCGCGCATTGCATTCACTCGATTCAATTACGTCGAACTGGTATAGCAAATTATTATCTACGCACAAAAAAATCGAAAAGATTTTAAAGTCGAAATTTGAAGAATATAAGGACGATAAAGAATTACGTTTCAAGAATCTACAATTCTTCTATTTTCAAAGATTCAGCTTCTTCTCGTTTTCTATTATGTCAACAACGATTTCATTTTGATTCAAAAAATCAAAGAACAAAGGAAAATAAAAAATTTCGTTCCCTTTCCTCTTCAAAAGCAAAATCTTAAAATTTTCCAAAGACTATTTTCAAAGACATCTCCTCCATTATCTCGTCAACAACGATTTCTTCAATAAAAAATTTCATTTCTTTTCCTTTCGAAGACAAATCCTTACAATTTTCCTATTTTCAAGCACTCAACATCTCCTTCATTATCTCGTCAACAACGATTCCTTCAATTGAATAAAAAATTTCGCTTCATTTCCTTTCGAAGACAAATCCTTACAATTTTCAAAGACATAAATCTTCTTCATTATCTCGTCAAGTGACGATTCCTTCAATTCAACTGAAAAAGAAAAAATCAAAGAACGAAGAAAAATTTCGTTTCCTTTCCTCCCCTCAAAACAAAACCTTCGCAATTATCCTATATTTTCAAAGACTCGACATCTCCTCTTCTTCCATCAACGTCATCAACAATCTCTCTCAGCAACTACCCGTCTACCCTTCACCTATTTCCTCCATCGGACGGAGCCACGTCCCTCGTGCGAAATTTTACAAACGTCGACCGTGGTGAAACGAGCCGGCGGAATTCGAGATTCGAATGGCGAAATGGTACGAAACGGGAGGAAAGTGCGCGTGATCCCCGTCGAATAAAATGCGTTCACGGTTGAGCGACACGCTAGAACGCGACCGCACGCGAGAGGAGAGCGATCGTTGGGCGGAAACAATTGTCGGCCGAATGCGAAAAATCCTGGCTTGTTTCGTTGCCCCCGTAC